TTCCCTTGCTTTTTACTGATTTTTCCTCAATTCAAGTGAAGCCAAATTTTTTTTCCAGCCCAAGATGTTGGAAATCTGAATTCAGTCCAGTCCGTACCGAGCTTTGCTGTGTACTATGAAACTATGAAAGAGAATTCAAAACTGACTCAAAAATTATTTGAATATACCGCAATAAAACTTATAATGCTGTGGCGTACAGAAAACCTGTGATATCATACTTATATAAAGAAAAATGATATTCTGTTGTGTTGTTAGATTCTTCCAAATCATCTAGAACATCATATTCGTTCGACTTTGACCAAGACAATTAAGACGTGAACTTTATCTTGATTTCTGGCAACGACATTCCTTCTATCCGAACTCCGTATGTTAAACTGACAATCGATCATCTTCAAGCGGCTGTTCATAACATATGAACAGAAGAGTATTGAGACCACCTGATGAGACCGCTGAGCATCGGTCGAAACGCGTCGTGGCATGATCAAACAAAATCCAATCAATCCTGTCTCGCATAAAGAACAGGAAGAAGTGGTATTTCTTTTCTACTGCATAGAGTGTATATAATGGGTGCGATTGTGTGTCTCCTCAGGAAATAAAAGTCAAAATATTGACTGCCTGTTATGGAGTTCCCTTGCGACCGTTTATTCCCCCCTTACGGTAGTAAAGAGAAAATGCCATTTTTTTCGTTTTTTATTCTGTATGAACCATATCCTAAGTTTCTGAATGCGGTTCAATTCAAAGTGCACAAAAATTTGGAAACAGTTTTAAGGAAACATGTAGAAAGTTTCAATATTTTATTTTTTGTACATACTTATAAAAGAGTCATACTAAATGAAGATTAATAAGAATTAGAGAGATAGTTTTAGATTAAAGATGATGTTAATTTCTACATTTTAATCCCTCGCTGTAATACCACATAGACGAAGCAAACGATAGAATAAAAGGAATCTATTCTATGATTTTGATATATGTATATCCACTGATAGATATTCAAGCAATTAGCTGTGCAAATAGCTAATACGTTTATTTCTCTACTATCATTTCACCATTGAGACAAATGTCATTCCACTTCTGTTATTCAGGTGTTTTTGATGTAAAATATTATTCGCAAGACAATTATTGCGTAAAAGGTTAATAGAGCGGATTTGAAATCAAGCAATCTTGCGTACTGGTTTTCTCTTGGTGTAACACTCACCTCAAAAAACTTTAAAACTCTAAGTTAAAAAGTGGCTTTCATTTTTACCTTTTTAAAGTTAAATTGGTCATTCTGTCTTTCACATATGCTTTTGTAGACTACTTGTACCAAAAAAAGTAATTATCATCTAAAATACCTCATTCTCTGTCATAACTATAGCGTAACCGCTAATTATTGTTTGTCCTTTTAACGTAAAACTTTGATTTTCTCGTTTTAGTTAGGACTCTGTTTCCGTGACAGTAAATATTTTTGAAAAATATTTTCTCATAACCACTTAATACGATCAAATGATATTGAGCGCTTAGTTTTACCTGTGATTGATTCTACTATCATTCTGTGTGACAAATATTTTCTAGCCAGATACAAAAGGCTTTGATGCATACGGCACGAAAATCGCTGCCAACCATCATTTTATTATTGAAGCTTGAAATGATGACGCGAAGCTTATAGCTCAGTTTCATAATAATACTTTTGCACGCGGACCACAATGCATTTCACGATATACGACCGAAGCGATTCTCTGATACAACCCAAGTTGTCCTTACGGCTCGCATTACTAGTGGTCGCAGATATTGCGAAAGTACAAAATGAAATGTACACACAATTATATGACCGTGTATAACAGCAATCAACACTTACTACATTATATATTGCTTACTGTGTGAATTGCAAAATGTAGGTTTTTCTTCAAATTATAAATAAGTAGAGAAGAAGGTTTCTCTCTGCTTTCTTATCTAATTTAAAGTCGCAAAGTACAATTGTAACATTAAATGCAAAAATATCTGCAAGCAAGATGGGTAATCTTATTAATATTTCCCAATATCCTTCGGATGAACGAATTTATACTTCGCATTGGGAAATTTACACAGTCAGCTTGTATATTTTTTTCCAAATTTAGGTATGGATTTATCATATATTTCACGATATGGACAAATAAATCTTGGTGATTTCTAATATCCGTTTATAACAAAAAATTCTACTAGTATGACAAGCGTTGCCTAATAACACAATGAAAGCTTATTGTTACTCAGGGTCATGTGATTAACTGAATCAACCTTGAAAGTACAGTAAAGCTATTCAGATCAGCTATTCAGATCCAGCTGATTATCGACTAGTGTATACGCTGAAGGATGAAAACAAATTTGATATTCTATATCAACAATGCGAGGAGGATGATGTGAAAAGAATGACAATGTAAAAATCTCTCGTATATAAACCTGTATCTGTAAAGTGTACACGTTATTCGCCTCTATCTTTTGAATAAGTTTATCATTAACATGTCAACCTATAAATTATACTATTTTAATCTTCGTGCCCGTGGTGAAGTTATACGTTTAATATTTATTGCTGCTGATCAAAAATTTGAAGATGTGCGTTATGATTATTCGGAATGGGAAAATCATAAAAATGAAATGTCATTGGGACAAATGCCAGTGCTCGAAGTTGATGGTCAAAAAATTCCACAATCATTGAGCATTGCCCGTTTTATTGCCAAACAACTTAATTTAGCTGGTAACGATAATCTAGAACAAGCTAAAGTTGATAGTGTTGTTGATACAATCGCTGACCTAATGCAACAATATTTGACAAAGATATTTATGGTAAAAGAAGAGAGTCAAAAGGACGAGGCTAAACAAAAATTTTTGAAAGAAGATGCAACAAAACAATTGACGAATTTAGAAAATTTATTAACAAATTATGGTCAAAATGGGCCATTTTTCTTAGGTAATCAATTGACATGGGCCGATTTAATGTTTTTTGAGAAAGTTACAACATTATCACAATTGGATAAAAATCTCTTAGAAAAATATCCAAAATTAAAACGTTGTCATGAAGAAGTTGGGCACAATCCAAAAATAGCCGCTTATCTCAAATCGCGTCCCAACGCAACACACCGTTCTAATATAAAAACAAATGAACATGATAGCACTTTTAATGTTTTTCATACTTGGCCTTGTAGGATTTATTATTTATTGTCCACTTCAAAAGGTCTGATGCATTTTTTTTTGTTCGCATATTTATCTGCTTTTCTTTTTCATCTTATTTAAAATACATTTGTCAATCGAAGTATAACTAAAATATTACAAAAGTACAAGTTTTCCTTTACTTTTTGTGAATTATGGACTCGGACTCTACTAGTTTCTCAATGGTGAAAAATTTGAGTTTAAAGCTTAATAATCAATAGTGACTTGAATAATTTTTAGTAAAGCGATATGTCCGAATAGCAAACCTCACTATACTTACGCACAATAGCCTAACTGAAAAATATAAATATAAATGTATTTTGATGATAATAACTAAAAAACACTATTGTTCTCAAGCGTTTTTAACGGCCATTCATTGCTCATCGTGAAAAAAAAGAAATTTCATCATTTGTAATCTCGGATTCTGATCCATTATAAATAGAATTTTATCGCGTCATTATATCGGTAAATAAGCAATTCATTGTTGATTGACTTACGTTATCTGATTTAATAGCTTAATGCAATTGCTCTAATACAACAGATTAATTCTGAAGTGGACACCTTAGCAAGGATCTAGGGCACTTCTTAAAATAATTTTAATAAGATCTTGTAATGCTTTATAATTTAAGATCATGATTAAGATTTGATCGTGAACAAATACAATCTTCAATTCTTCTTTGATGTATAAAATTCAGCATTGCTTTATCAATAGATCCTAGTGTTATCATGATATTGGAAAGAAAAAGATTTTCATAACGCCCTGCGAACTGCAGATCAATACTACTTGATTGTATCGTGTCTGATAACATTTGATCTAAATCTCATCAGATCTAAAAGCTCCTTTAATCTTACGATCTCAGTAACATTTGTCCATAATAGGCTGGCTGGCACAAAAGGCAATATTTTTCTGCTTACTTTACTTTTGTTTTTGTTACATTTTTCCTTCGTTCTCGTTTTGTTAAGAGTTCCTTGTACTCTACTTGATATCTTTCTTCAATAAGCGCTATTGGAATTAGCTGAGATAACAAGTCCCGTTTGGATGATATATTTGAGTTTTGTATTTCCATCAATGCATACAGTGGTTTTCAACGAACATTGTACCTAATTAAAAGTATTCAAAGAGTGCGGTTAGGACCTCAAGAGAAGACACTTGTAATACGCCGTCACATCTAAATTTAGCAATACATTACTAAAATACTGCGTGCAAATCACAGCTCCAAGCTATCAAACTGGAGTATCTACTAATTAGAAGAATACGGTTACCGTTATCAATAAAAAAAGAATGGTTTCGGATAACGTTTCACAAGATTCACAGATAATCTCGCATCTTTTACTTTATTATTCTAATTTGTTAAACGATTTAGAATACACTATACCAAGCCAGATATCAAAGTCTTAACGGTTGAAGGCATAAGATCCATCTTAAAGGACCTGACTTCACATCATGACAACAGATAATGTGTCAAATGCCTCATAATTTTAACAGATAGACAGTACATCTATTCTTTTACTGATCTTCTATTTAAAGTACAGCGACATATATATAAGGCGAAAAGTCTTGTTCCTGATGTATATCAAAATGCTATGCGCTTATTGTTGATTTTTTTATAAATTGTAACTTTAGGTAACAAGGTTATATATCATACAGCAAATATACATCCCTCGGATCCGCTGCTTCGCTTCGTAACGTTGTCGCCTGCTGCTGTCACGTCCTTTCTATTTTTGTTGTTGTTGTTAGACAGCTGCTTTAAATTTCCACTAAAAGAGATCGAATGGAACGACAAACTGTCTGTGACTCGTTTGTGTTGTACAACACACGTTAGAAATGAAAGCGCTAACTTCCAAGATACATTTCCTTTTCGAAAAACGGTTCATCTTGATACAATGGATAATCAGTGACTGCAGTTCCTCAGAAGTGTTTGCAGACCACTACACCATACGCCTTTCGACGAGTAGAGCGCTCTGCAAAAATAGTAATTTATAATAGAGCAAATGCTGAAAGTTTTGATCGGAATCAAAACACGTATAATAAAATGTACATCCGTCGGATCTGCTGGTTCGCTTTGTAGCG